GATAGACTTGGTAGGCTTTGGAGATGCATGGCTTACTAATGAACTGAATGAGAATATGAACGCACTTCTAGAAATTCTACCAATTAGAAATTCTTTGGGTTTGCAAGCTTCTTTTATAAAAATGCAAATATATCTAAGAGGCTTATGACTGAGTGAGGGTATAATTTAGCCTGAATTAGTTCCATCAGCTTACTTTCTGCTGTCACCTAGCTGAAGTCAGTCATACTGAAGAGATGAGAATTTTACTTGGGGAAATAATGTTTTGCATAAGGAATATAATCATGTTTGAGAAAGATGGTGAGATTCTTTCAAATGAGAAAAGCATCAAACAGCCCATAGATGTACAGAGAGGGGGGTATCAAGATTTGAGAACACAGAGAACAAACAAACCTTAACCTTCAAGATTGCTTGAAATATTAGACCTAGAATATTAAAAATATCATCAGTGTCACTTAAAAGAAATAACGATATTTGTCAATGTTTAAAAGTAATCTCGATTATGGTGTTTTAAAGATATATTATATTTGGTAGTAAACATTATTTACACTTTTTAAAGCTCCATCTTGTTTAGCTACAACAAAAGGTGTTAAATTACCTATTATTTTCCTTATTTAAGTGCACTCTCCTGTTACTTAAAAAAACAAGGGTATAAATCTGAAAATGTTCATAATGCTATCCTTGAATATAAGTCTGGGTACTTGTATTTTAAACTTCACATGAAAGCCAGGGCTCAGAGCTAAGATAAAACTACTGGAAAGAATGAGTTATGATCAAAAATTGGGCACGCTCCTTACTGGGATTTCTTTGGCAAAAGTCATTTGATCTCTAAGAAAAGAATGCAAACAACTCACAACCCAAGTAAAGCAATTCTCATGTTTTGCACTTGTATTTCAAATATGGGGAAGGAATTCTTTTTATTAAAAAAAACCCTAACTTAATAGAAAGCAACAAAAAACATTAGCAACAAGTTTGGGCCAACTAAAAATTTTGAAACTTTTTTTTTCAAAAGGCAAAGCATTAAATGGCAAGATAAAAATAAGTCACTGGGCTAGCCAGTAAAAATTCCATGGATGTGTTTCCTTCAATGTGAGCCACAAGTCAAATGTCAGGTACACTCTGTTTGGCAACGGAATGGAACAGACTGTGTTATCCTTACATGCTGTTTCAATCACTCCCTGGTTTCTAGCCAACACTCTGTCCTGTGTCACTTGCGTGGGTTCCAGCTATATGTACCAGTGTGATCATCCCTCTTTCCTTTAAATCCCTGTCTCTACCTACCACTGGAGATAAAACCTGGGACAGTAAGTCTATATGGAGAAAAGACACAGGAGATTCATGGGATCTCAGCATTACTGATCATTGCCAAACCGTGGATTTTTAGAGATATGAAAACCACAGTGGGCTGGTGGGTTCACATAAAGCCCAGCCTTCTTTGCCACTATATAATGCAGCCATGTAACCAAAAATTATTTGTGTCTCCTAAAGCTGTTGCAATATAAAAACAAAACAGAACTGAAGCACAGCTAGATTTTAAATCTTGCTCAGATTGATTAAGCTTCAGAACTAGAATTTGTCAGGTGTTTCTGAAACGGTTGGAGGTGCTTCACTATGCATTTTTCACATTTCTGCGCTTTTTGCAAAGAGAGACATTGATCATTTTGAAAAGCACTAGCTTTTCAAAGATATTTGTATAGTATTATGTTTAATTTTTACTACCTTACTTTTAGACTAATACCATATATTTAGGTACTAACATGTTGATACCTAATCTGTATTCAATATTAAATGTTCAGCATTCACAACAAACAAAATATTTTTAGTTTCGTGAATAGAGTCTTTATTTCAAGGATAGCCTTGAATGATAGAGATGGTGTCTCATTCCAGAGCAAGGGAAAGTTGTTTTTTGTTTGTTTTTGTCCAATGTAACAAAAAATAATGTCTCCCTTCGGAGACAAAGGGCAGGCATCCTCACTGCACATTATAAAAGATTCAAACTCCCTAAGTTCAGGGTTCCTCTTTTGAAATGCAAACCACTAAGTATAGTCAACCTTTGGTATCTATGTGGGGATTGGTTCCAGAACCCTAGAGGATACCAAAATCCATCAATGCTCACGTCCCTTATAAAAAATGGTATAGTTTTTGTGTGTAATCTATGCAATCCTCCTGTATACTTTAAATAATCTCTAGATTAATTATAATACCTAACAAAATGCCTACACATCACTTTATCACTTGAATTCAATGTAGTATTGCACAAAGTCACGTTTTGTTTTTTGGAATTTTATGGATTATTTTTTCCTAATATTTTCTATCCAAGGTTGGTTGAATCCACAAATGTGAAACCCACAGATTCGGAGGGCCAACTGTTTGTAAGCATCATCTAGCTGGGACTAGGTGAACCAGGGTTCAGTGAACTAGCACAACAGCTGATAGTTTGTCTACTGCTATTGCTGTAAACAAAAAATCATTGCTCTCTGATTCAGGTGTCTCATGTCTTTTTCCAGTGCCCATGAAACTATAGCGGATAAAATCACAGACCCTTCTCAGTTTTTGACAGAAAAATAAAGTCTTAGTGATTATTTATCATGTAAAGAGAGAAAACATAAAGTATTGTGAGATCTGTTGCTTGATTTCTCAAATATAGGATGATCCAGTTACCAGTTTTTGAACATTATATGTTAGGAATAATATGTGCTTTATTACTCAAATCAAAATATACACACACACATATACATACATATATATATAGAGAGAGAATCTACCTGATATCTCAAATTAAACCTATGAAGTGGGTCCTCACTTGATAGACTAGGCAAAACAATAAACAAAACAAAAACCCTCTGAATTTAGGTCATATAGCTAATAGGTGATTTTGTAAAATTTGTGTTTTGTCAACCTCCAAATGAAACACAGCTTAAAATGGCACAAGCCATTTTTACCTTACATAAAATATCTAGATTATATAGTATGAAGTTTAGTTTTACTAACTCACCTTTATAATAATATGATATACTTAAGTATTGACATGTAGCTACCTAACCACTTTTCAGTATTTCAGCACTCACAACAAAATATATTTAGCTTTGTAAATATTGAGTTTATATTATACACTGTATATTTATAGCAACAGTCTACAACAAAAGCTACTGTTTATAAAACTTAGATAAGAAAATAATTCTACAGACATATTCTTTTAAAGCTACACATCCAAGAAAATGATCTTCATCTAGAGAGAGATAACATGATAGAAGAAATAATTTCATTTAAAAGACTGTATATTCTGTGAAATTCTCTTTTTAGCCTTAGAGATAAATGGAAAATTAACATACTAGATGGGGTGCAGAAAAGACTATATCTGTCTAGAACTTATAGATGCTTTTAAGAATAAAAAATGTAGCCGGGCTCGGTGGCTCAGCCTGTAATCCCGCGCCTTTGGGAGGCTGAGGTGAGTGGATTGCCTGAGCCTGTGGGTTCAAGATCCGCCTGGGTAGTGAGACCTCATCTCTACAATAAATCAAAAAATCAGCCGAGGGTGGTAGCGTATGCCTGTAATTCCGTCTACTTGGAAGGCTGAGGCGGAAGGATCGCCGGAGCACTGCACTCCAGTCTGGGCGACAGAGTGAGACTCCAACTAAAAAAAAAAAAAGAATAAAAAATGTTTAAAGCAAAAGACAAAATGCTTCTTACTTTTTTGAAAGCAAAATGTCCAATATAAACTTATATAAGAATTGTTTGGGAAATTTTTTAAATTGGTTATCTCTTTTGGACCACAAATAGTTTTTTAATTCTATGATTCTAGTCTGTTAACCATAAAGCTAAAAAAATGTAATGCTCTGAATCTACCATTCAGAAATGTAAATAGAAACAAAGAAAAATATACTTTAAAAATCTGTAGGCTCTGATCAAAATGTAAAAAGAAAATGGTTTTATATTGCCTTCACTAAAATATTTCTATATATTTATTAACATTCTATTAATGGAAATAATTATTTTACTTGCTTTCCCCCAAAACATTCTGTTTTTATACAATAAAAAAAAACCAACCTCTCCAGCTAGAGTTTATGGAATCATTTACAACTGTCATATAAATCAATAACCATGGAACCAAATTTAGTCTAGACAATTAATTTAAAAGTTGAATAGTTGATTTATTTTTATTTTATTTTGATTCTTGGTAAATGACAATAGAATACTGTAATCTTTACAGTGGGCCATGCCAGAGTGATTTATACTTGATGTGAAAACAGAAAACTCAGTGGAAAATCTGATGGGTTAGGCTATAAGACAAATTAATACAAAATAAAATTAAAGCCACACAGATGTAAATTTTAATTATGTAGTGAAACACTTTCTAGGTGTTAAACTATTAAATAGTAAATGAGCTTTAAACAAGAAATTTTAAGAGCCTTTCACTGACGGGTTTTAAAGTAGGCTAAATTCCATTTACGAAGCCTTACTTCATCTATGAGGACTCAAATACCTTCTGATGTTTTTCTCCACTTTGGAAACTTATGAAAAAATTTTTGTCCCAAAATCCTAATATAGTCAAGACACAGAATTCATTCATTCAGTATTCTGTCTTAAACATACAGGCAGATTGAGAGGATTCCAGAAAGGAGAAACAAATTTTTTAGCATCAGAATTATTATGAAAAAATACATACTTTTTAAAACCTCAAGTTTTATAGAATTAAAAACTACTTGAATAGTTACTTTTAAAATACATCTGCAATTATTTTAAAGACAAACGGAAAGGAGAAAAAGAAATATTTATCTAGCAAATCAGAAGGCAACACTAAAAGAAAATCAATATTATGCTTGTATTCCTCATTATCATGGTCTTTCCACTGGCAAAACATTGTGAACCATGGAAGATTTGTGGTGGTGGAATTGATAGAAAAAGGAGTAACAGATGCTGATTGGAGACCTTGTGAGTTATATCTGCTATGGAAGCCTGTACATCTCACACGTTTAAGCAAAATGAAGCAAATTAAAGATTACCTGGAAATTTTCTAATAATTTGACATAATCCTTCCTTTCTGCAAAGCAGATGCTGTATTTCTGGTAATGTGTTTACCTAAAAGAAATGAGAGAGAGTCTAGTGAGTTAGGCATTCATAAATGCTACAGCAAAGCAAAGGAAACACAAAACCACTAGAAGGTATAGATGTGAAGTATCTTCTATACCAGTCTGTCTTCAAATCTCTGCAAGTCAACATTCAAATTCAGAAAAATAAAGTGGCTTATGTGATAACATAAAATAAAAACTTGTCTTTAGAAATCATCTAAATATCTGGAAATACTTTTAAATGTTTTTATATTTCAAAGTCATAATATTTGCTAGATATAAAAGGAAATATCTGTGACAAATACAGTAACACAAACTTGCAAATTTCACTTTTTTGCAAAAAAAAAAAAAATAGCATGAAGCATACTTCGAAGTCAAATTCCAAAGTTCTAAAGGCCCTCAGTGGTTTGCACCATATTTAATGGTAATGCAATGTTAAACCTGTTCCAACGCTTCCTATATGGTTTTCACTTCATACCAAAGGGCATTGATTGTTTCCAGATACAACACTTAGTCACCCACAAATCTTTACTTCAACCAAAATTTGTTCATTAAAAGCTTTGTAAGTGTTATAAATTCAAATACATAAATTTTAAAAGATTATAAAGAAGAGAAAGAGTACAAAGAAGTTTAATTCTCTCCTCTTGTGAAGTGACAGATTGGTGAACTATCATTCACTAAATCCCAAAACAAAGTTCAAATATGAGTAACCTTGTGAAAATCAACAAAAAGAGATCAGTGTAAATTAGCTTGAAAATCAGATTCATTTTTGAGACATCCTTGATTACATTCAAATGAACTCATTCTAACCTAATAAAGTATTGTAATTTCTTTACTGTGTTCTGCTGGCATGACTTGATTTTAAAAACTCAGCTGCAAAGTATATGATTTCACTCTTTTTCACGACTGCTTAGTATTCCATGGTGTTTATATACCACTTTTTGTTTATCCAGTCCATTGTTGGAGGGCAGTTTGGTTGGTTCCATAATTTTGAAATTGTGAATAAAAAATGCAGCAATGAACAAATAAGTACAGGTATCTTTTGATACCTTTTTTTAAGATCTCACTCTATCTTCATACTGAGTGCAATGGCATGAACAGGGCTCACTGCAGCCTTGACATCCTAGGTTCAGGCAATCCTTCCACTTCAGTCTCCTGAGTAGCTGGGACTGCAAGCGTGTGCCACTCCACCCAGCTAATTTTTTTATTTTTTTGTAGAGATGAGGTCTTGCTATGTTGCCCAGACTGGTCTCTAACCCCCAGGCTCAAGAAAATCTCCCAACTCAGCCTCCCAAAGTGCTGGGATTGCAGGCATGAGTCACCACCACTGGCCTCTTTTTTCTCAATTGATTTCTTTTTCCTTTGGATAGATTCCTAGCTGCAACGTGGCTGGAGCTGAAGATCATTCTAAGTGAACTGACTCAGAAACAGAAAACCAAACACCACATGTTTTCACTCACATGTGGGAGCTAAATGACCACAAAGATGGAAATAATAGACACTGGGGATACCAACAAAGGGGGAGCAGAGGGGTGGGGCTAGGGTTCAGAAATTAACTATTGGGTACAATGTTCACTATCTTGGGAATGGGCCACCTGACACCCAATCCCCACTGCTACACAATATGTCCATGTAACAAACATGCATGTGTACCCCTTGAAGCTAAAATAAAAATGGAAAAAAAAAACAAAACCAAGCAGCTGCAATTGGACAAGAAAGGCAACTAGAAACAGGCTTGGCACTTAAGAGAATCGTCACCTTGAGCACGTCACTTTGCTCTTTTTTTTTCCAGTTTCTTCATTTGCAAAACACTTCAAGTCTTCGATTTCTAAGTTCTATCTCTGCTCTAGGATTTTTACCATTTCGATGTTATAGCTTTTCAAAAATGATTCATTTAAAGTGCTTGAAACAGTGCATCAATGAAATCTTCTCTGACACTTGCAATTTTATTTTCCGTATTCATTTGTTCAGCATACTTTCTCTTGCCCCAATAACAACCAGAGGAAAGACAAACTTCAGCCCAGATGCTGTGGGAATGAAGTCCAGGCGTCAAAGGTGTTGTGATTCTACACTAAATATTCCATTTTGAAAGTGTACAGGGATACCAAAGTCAAAATCATGTTCATTATTTTGCACTGGCAATTGAGAAAAGGCTGTATATGTGCAGTTTCCAGTTCAAAAATGAGAAAACTTAGGAACCAAACGTAGAAAATGAAACTCTGAGTTCTTCAGAATTTTTAAGAAGGACTGGGGGGAACGGACTGAGCTCTGCAAAAGTACAAAGAATCCGTAATAGAGGAATTTTTTTTAAGTTAACACACAAAATATCTTTTTAAATTAGGTGGTGAAAAGCTTCAAAAGTCAATAAAATTGAACGATTTTCCCGAAAGAGAGCAAAATCACTTAGTTGCCAGTGACTTAATTGAAGGCTTAACAATGGGATTCAGAAAAAAGCCAGCAATTGGTACGGAGCGTTACAACTATGGATTGACTCAGTGTCCATTTCCAACCTTCTCATACAGGCTTGAAAGCAAATGTGCTATCACCATGGGGGCTTAGAGCCTCTGTGATTCTGTGTTCCCCCTATACAAACTGAAAGGAACAGCAGAGTCCTGGTAAGATGGATAACAATAACCAAACTAACAGGCAGAAGAATTTATGTAGATGCTACAAAAACAGAGTGAGCGTGTACAGAATTATGCTGCTGGGAGGAGGTTGCTGTGTCATGTCAGAGAAATGGCTTTTCATATGAGACATTGGGTCAGGAAGATGAACTGGCTCAGGAACAACAAAGCACTTCTTCCAAGGGAAGTAGCTGTTCTATCCTTCCACCTTCCATTTTCCTACTTCCTACCCAGTGACTTCTTCCCGTGTTCTTTCCTCCAAAGTGTGTCTTTAGAATTCATAGAAAGGCAGATGACATAACCATGGTGACATGTGACACCAGAAATATCTGTATTCTACTTTGGAATTTAGCACCAAACTAAACAATTAAACCGAGTAAAGTATCTCAGCACAAAGAAGTAAAATATTCAAGAATCATGGTCATGCAGCTGTGGTAACTCAACTATATTACGCAGATAACTTTTTGTTAAACTTAATAATGCCCTCCTGTATTCTACTGCTTTTTATTTTAATTGTTATGTATATCATAAAATATATTAGATTTGTATCATTATAAAGCAGAACATCATCACAAGAGTTTTAATTTGGATTAACTGAGTTTTATATGATGAGTTTCTCCAGTTTAACACTGCAATAGTTATTTTTTCTTTTTTATTTTTTTTGAATTGGAGTCTCACTCTGTCACCCATACTGGAGTGCAATGGCCACTGCCGGCCACTGCAGCCTTGACCTGCTGGGCTCCAGCGATCCTTCTGCCTTAGCCTTCCAAGTAGCTGGAACTACAGGCGCACACTGCCATGCCTGGCTAATTTTTGACTTCTTGTATAGATGAGGTCTCGCCAAGTTGCCCAGGCGGGTCTCGAACCCGCGGGCTCAGGCAATCCACTCACCTCAGCCTCCCAAAGCGCGGAATTATAGGCTGAGCCACTGAGCCCGGCTTGCAATAATTATTTTTAATAGACTTTGTTTGTTAGAGCAGTTTTAGTTTTACTGCAAAATTTAGAAGAAGATCCAGAGATTTCCCTTATTCTCCCTACACCTGCACATGCCCAGTCCCCTTCATTACCAATATCTTTCACCAGAGTGGTACATTTGTTATACTTGAACTTACATTGACATACCATTATCTTCCAAATAATCAATTGTAAAACATACCAATCTTGTGTTATGTTTGGAAGCTTTATTCACAGCATATACTAGATGTATGTGTGCATTTCTATATGTAGACTGTTGTCTTTCTTTACTTTCACAAATATTTTTATATCTTTGAAAGGACTAGAATACAGTTATAAAGTAATAATGATATACAAACCTTGGGATATTTTTTAAAAATTAAATTTCGAGAAAGAAAATAGGCATCAAGAAAATTTTAATCCCAAAACACCTTCCGCAATCCTAATCTGTGCTAATCTGCATCTAAATTGTTTTCATTACATATTGTCAAATGAAGTTTGTTAAAATTATCCTTCTTTTGAGATATAGTCTATTTATAAGATCAAAAATATAATATTAATTAAAAACATTTAAAAAGTGCCTATAAATCCAAAAACCTAAAATGATAGTAGTTTCATTAATTTATTAAGGAAAGTGGACACTTGAATACAGTGTAAACAAACAGCCAGGGGGAGGGAAATTGGTTTTTTGGTCATTCATGAACTTTGAGAGTGACACCCATATCACATTGTATTTTATGGAAATGCTCTTTTTCTTCATATCTGTAGAGACATTCACGTATTTTATTCGGTCAAAAACCAACCTTCTCCCAAAGCTGTTCAGTCTCATCCACAAGGAAAAGAATTTGTAACAACAAAATTAGAAGAATCTAACCAAGAAAAAAAAAACAGAGTTTTCCCCCCATATCTCTTATATGCAATTATCATTCCATCATATACACATGAAAATGCCCTGGTACATATAATAAGAGTGATTTCTGTAGTTCTCAGTGCTCCAAATACTAAAACAGCATCCTAGCTATAGTAACTGCTAATCTTACGACAATTTAGAGCTAGAAATTAATCTCTCTGCTTTTGAAACATTAGCACCTTTCTGGTTGAGGTGCTAACACTAAACCTAGTGTTAACCCTAATAATGAATCTCACTTTGCTTTCAATGTCACATAAACCATATGGTTTTAAATCCATGTTACTGTCTTGCTGACTAGGGAGACTCCTGGTCACTCAATTTCAATAACAGATTTTATGATCATTTTAATTAAGCACAAAAACTACATAGCTCTAATGTGATTAGTGATCCTAATTTGTGCCAGTGCCCTTTCTCTGTTCATTCTTAGGTAATTGACAATCCTACAACATCCTCAACATATTTGAAGCAACTTTTGTTTTGAATATCTATGCTGTTTACATAAATAAGTCATGGTTCATAAGG